GTATTAATCGTCAAGTGCCAAAAAATAATCGATTAATGTTTTTCTGACGATGAAAAACACATTATGCCCAACCCTAGTTCCCACTATCCCCCTGGAAACACTGGCATCAAGCATGCCTAAACAATTGTTTGAAGTCATCAACAAGAATGGAGGAGTTACTCATTACTGAGTCCTTTTTTTGACACTTTGATTTCTGTTTTGGGGGGTTTTGGGTTTTTTTTTTTGAGTTATGGTCTTAAACTTTTGATCAGCTGAAAAAATCATGTTTGAGTGTAAATGCAGTTTTCAGACAATTCCCTGCTCAAAAGTTCTTGTCTCTTGCACTGATTTCTTCTTTTAACATTGTGAAGCTCTACTTAGAACCTTCTTAAGATCCAATAGTGCAAAATGCAAATTCTTGAACTTTTTTAACTGGTCTTAAGATTTTGATCAGGAGTGTACGTGCAATTTTTTTGTGCAACTTTGAGTCTACTGCATTATGTTTTGACCTACTTTATTTTAGTAGCAATACAAAGTAATGTGTGCTGTTCCATACTTCCTGACAATGCTGTTATAAAAAAAAGCTTATCTTATTTTATACATGAAGAATCATGTGCTCTGCTTATTGTAATGCTTTTTTTAAAATGGGCATGGGCATAATGGAGGTAAATTGCCAAGTGTGGCACTTTTTGGAGCAAGTAAATGATTAACCTTCAGTCTGCTGACTTTGAAACCCATGTATCTGTGCCAAAACTGATAAAACCAAACAAAACCTGCTAAAAAGCTCTCATGAAAAGTTAATGAGGAAATGAGACACAGCTTGTGGGGTTTTAAGGGTTATTTACATTATAGAAATATGAGTGTCTGCCTTCATTAAGTGTTAAACAACTATTTATGTCTAAAACAAACAAACAAGAAACTACTTTAACGGGGGRAAAGGGTTAAAACGTCGCCAAAAACGTAACTTCTAGTCTAGTGTAAAAAAAAAAAAAAGAGTTAACAGTCAGGTTAAAACTTTATAGCCTGTTAAACTTAATTTTAAAAAGTAATGTTTACAGCACGAAGCTCACAGCTGTGGATAAACATGGTAAAACTCACATTTTGTCACGTAGGGAGAATCTGCTCAATCACGTTTAGCTGCTCCGTCTGCTCCATCTGAGCTGAATTTGCTGACTCATGTTTCCTCCCTCCCTCCTCCTGCTGCTGATCTGCTGAGTCATGTTTCAGGCTGCTGGAGTGGCCAGGCAACAAGAGGACAGCTGTAGGTCCTCTTCTGAAAGAGGAAAACTGGCCATAATGTTTTTATCAAGACCTGTTAGCAAAATATCCTTCAAACCACTGGACGGGTTTTAATGAAACTATCAGAAAGTAATCATATCCATATTTACTGAGCTGGACTTTGGTGGGTAGTAGGCTAAATGAGGCTGATCCCCAATTTATCCTCTGGACAAAGATCACACAAGACCTGTCAACCCATCTGTTAGCAAAATATCTTCTGAACCTGGATGGATGTTAATGAACCTTTTAGAAAGTTATTGTCATGTCTGTATCCTCAAGTCAGTCTCCATCTCTTTTAGTAAGTAAGTAAAGTTTTATTTATAAAGCGCCTTTCACAGAAATATATTCACAAGGTGCTGTACAATCATTAACAGTTAAAAAATGGTAGAAAGAATAAAATGAAACAGAAAAATATAATTACACATAAGCAACGAAAACTGAACATCAAATCAAGAATTAATTTCTAAAATTGTAAATCAAACACAAGGTCAATGCAAGTCAAAACATGCAGTAATAYACAAAAACATAATGAATGTGGGAGAGAAAATATGGCGTAAGTTCAATAGTAAATAAAACAAAGATTAGCGAAGCATTCACAATGGAGGTAGGCTGGCAGTAACGGTGAAATGGTTAGATAAATGCTTGAGAGAAAAAGTGAGTTTTTAGGAGTGTCTTGAAAGAGACGATGTTATTAATGGAGCGCAGATTAAAAGGGAGTTCATTCCGGAGCCTGGGGGCCACAGAGCAGAAGGCACGGTCACCACGGGTCTTAAAGCGAGTGAGGGGAACCATGAGGAGATGTTGATCCTGTGTGCGGAGGTCCTGTCTGGGGACCAAGTACTCACTTGCCCTCCTGCCTGTTGTCTTCAGTCCTGGACAAGATCTTCAGACACATGAGAGGGTTCGGAAACATCAGGGCCTTGTCTCTGTATGATGTGAATCTGTTGACCTCCAGAGGACTGAGCGGTTTGCAGCAGAAGCGTGAAGCGGCTGGGATGAGAGTCAGCTCAGGTGGGATGTTTCTGGGTTGGGAGATGATGAGCCTCAGAGGACTTCAAAGGTCTGGGAGTTTTGTCTGCTGGCAGGGATGGAGCAGTGGATCAGGGCATCTTCAGTTGTGTTGGAGGTGTTGCTCCATTTTGGTGAAGAATGAGCCAGGCCTAACCACTGATTTAAATTGTTGGATCGGAACTGAGATTTTGATGATTTGATGAATAGATCAATGAATCAATCATGGGTGGATGGGGGTTTGAACCATACTATAATTTTCTTGTTTTTCTCCAAAAACACTGATTTCATTTCACTCTGATTTTTTTTTTAATTTGATTCCATTTTAACTCCAGATGGTGCTGATCAAAGTAGTGGACCAGATGGAGACCAGGGATGGAGCAGGGTACACTGTGCTGTATTCTGTTCTCAAACCGTCATTCTGTAGTTTGTTAGACTAACCACTGCAGGGATTGTGGAATCAGAGGTTTTACTTGTTCATTTTAGTGACGAAACAAACCAGTCATGGGACAGTTCCTCTCCCTCCTCCCACTGCAGCCTCAGAAACTCTCAGTCATGTTTGGGACTGACTCCTCCTCTCGTCTGGTTTAACTTTGGAATCTGAACTCGCCCTGTCATGTTTAACCCTCAGCCCTCCCTTCCTTTGGGTTTTGTTTCCAAGCTGCTGCTGCTGCGTCATGTTTAACACTCAGGCCCTCCCACTGTTCCTGCTGAAGCTGCTGCATCATGTTTAGCTCTGGTTTCATGACTCTCAGTTCCTGTTGGCAATGAAAGGGCGAGAGGGAGGAGACAAGTGAAGCAGAGTATAAAAGAGGGAGAAGACAGAAAGCACAACAAACTGCACGGCACATCCTGAGGGACGAGGGGGGACAAAGAACAAACTTCCAAACTACCAGGACTTTATCACAACTGGTGAGTAAAGCATGAAAATTACATTTTTAAATACGTTGTCATGTTTTATACCATCTGAACCTTTTTATAGTGATGGTTTTCATTTTAGACGACACTTTGTTTTCTGTAAACGAGATTTCTGACAGTTTTACATTTTTCAGGACCACAATGGAAACAGAGAAGAAGATGACAGCAGAACAGATGACTGACAGGTTAGACTGGATTACTGTGATTTTTTTCTTATTTCTAAATCTATTTTCTGCATTTTTTTAATTATAAAATGTTCCATTTTTTTCTTCCAGTTGAGTCAGATTATAATCTCAGTGGGCATCAATCAGATTATATTGATTAAGATTTATGTTTTCTCTTTCAGGGACCTGTCTGAACAAATCAAAAAGGTCACAAAGGACAGTCACGTCAGAGCAGAAAACACAAAAATGATGCTGAGCTTTCAGCGGGGACAAGTCACACTTCCTCAATACAAGGTAAAAAAAAGAACTGTTAGGCAGATAATCTTTCATTTAGGTGGATTATCAGGTTTTTAATTTGACACTGTTTTATCTCCTCCACAGCTCCTCCTGTGCTCTCTGTATGAGATCTATCAGGCCTTAGAGGAAGCGCTGGACAGGAACTCCAACCATCCTGCTGTGGCTCCCATCTACTTCCCCGCAGAGCTGGCCAGGCTGCAGTCCATCGAGAAGGACCTGGAGTTCTTCTACGGCCCGGACTGGAGAGAGAAACTTGTTGTTCCTGCTGCCACAGAAAGATACTGCCACAGACTCAGACAGGTACATTTTATGTGCCAATGCATTTAAACCCCATTATTACTATTATTTATCCATAATTCATCAATTTCTGCCAAGATTTTCCCCCCGTTCCGCCCTCTACTTTTGATAAACCCATTCCAAAAAGATGCCATGACACCAGTGGCGGATCTAGGATTTATTTATTTATTTATTTATTTGAATACGGGGCAATTAAGGGGCCACAGTATTTTTAGAGGGGCCAAGTATTTATTTAACATCTTTGTATACACATCTCTGATTTTGGTATGATGTATACGTTTAACCAGTCACACATGCCCAAATACTTGTAATGTAATTTAAAAAAATCTTGCATGTATATTCTCCTTACAAGTTTTACATGTATTTTTACTGTACATGGATCAAATACTCTCAAACACACAGCATGTAAGAAAATCCAGCCATCGTTTGTTAGCGGAAAGATGTTTCCTGCAGGATTGTTCACATCTCTAGAAGAGAAGAYGACGTCTATAAGTTTAATTCATGCCRGACTTTCCTATTTGACTCATTAGTGCCTCTAGTGTTTGAACATGAAACTGCACCCAGCAGCATCACTCTTGGGCAAATGACAGATGAGGAACAGGACAGGGGGCACTTCAGGGGGCCAATCTGATTTCAGCAGGGGCCAATGCCCCTGTGGCCCCACCCCTAAAACCACCCCTGCATGACACAATGTAGAAAGTTTTACAAAAATGTTTAAAAAACTGAAAGTTTTTATTATTGTTTGTCTAAATTCTACATAAAACACTGCAGATCCATAAAAAGTAACTCGTTTGACCAGCAGACATTACTACCACTTAAAATTCGTGACTATTTTCAGTCCGATGTTTTGTTTTCTCTCTGTAACTTTCTTTTTGCTTTGCATTTCTGCCTGCCTTTTCATCGTTCAAAGGCAACAGTGTTTTTTGTCAATAGCTTTTGCTAAAGATTTAGAAAAATGGTAATAAAACTGAAAAGTTTAATTTTTACAATGACTAAAGTGTTTGTACTTTTTATTTTTCCAGATCGGCAAAGAAAACCCAGAGTTCCTGCTCGCCCACGCTTACACCCGGTACCTCGGCGACCTGTCTGGAGGGCAGGTCCTCGGTCGAATCGCCCAGAAGTCCATGGGGCTGAAAAGCGACGAGGGTCTGACTTTCTTCGCCTTCCCCGGAGTCTCCAGCCCCAACCTATTCAAGCAGCTGTACCGCAGCCGCATGAACAGCGTGGAGCTGACGGAGGAGGAGATGAACGGTGTGCTGGAGGAGGCTGTCAGGGCCTTCGAGTTTAACATCCAGGTGAGAAAGGAGGAGGAGGAGGGGGAGGTCACGAGCCTTTGCTCTGATGGTCACACATCTGACGTACATTTCTGTGTTTTATAGGTGTTTGACGACTTAGAGAAGATGCTGAGCGTTCCTGAAAATAAGCAGCAGCGTTCTTCAGGCTCCAAATCGGTCCAGGATAGAACACTCCAAATCCCAGCAGGCATTTCTCCTCTGCTCAGGATGGTTCTGGGACTCTTTGTTGCTCTGATTACTGTCACCATGGGAATCTATGTACTGTAGAAACAATACTAAATGCAGTTTTTTGTGCTTTTCATTCATTTCACTTCAGGACCGTATGATGCAAGAGTGTTAAACTCTCATTGGAACTGTAAAATATATCAAAAATAGATACTCTTGTGATAACTGTGCAACTTAAAACTTCTGCTGTTTACATTAGATGAATCTGTTTCCCCACACAGACATGCAGAGGGCATTAAAATGTGCAATATTTTAAATACTGTAAATATGTAATTTTTTAAATAAATGTTTTTACTAAAAAAAATCCCAATATGATGTTTGTGCTTTTGGTTCATGCTACAACTCCCCCCCTCCAAAAAAAAAAAAAAAAAAAAAAAAAAGAGGAAGGTTCACATTTTTAACAAAAATCTACGGAGCCCGCGAGGGAACATGGGGGGATTTTTTTGTATTGCGTTCCCAAGCAATACCTTTGCGTTCCCTCACAAAAATGTTTTGCGTTCCCATGCAAAAGATTGTTTTGTATATGAACTGAATTAAATCAGACTTTTATTTTGAAATATCCGGTTACCAAAACAGGATGTGTCGCCACAAGTTCGTGAAATTGACATTGATGTTGCGTGGCTGTACTGTGTTAAAATATCATTTGACATACTTCCAGGCATGACTGTGTGATATATTCATTCTGAAGCTGAATTAAAGTAGTAGGCTAACTCGCTAATGGTGAACATGTGAGTTTGTTAATAACCGGCAGGCACAACAGTGATAAACTACTTTTGCGAGGGAACGCAATACTATTGCGTGGGAACGCAAAAGAAAAAAAAATTCTCCCATGTCCCCTCGCGGGCTCCGTAAAAAGCAGATAAAGTATTACACTGAAAAAAAATACAGATTTAGTATTCACTTTTATTGTGGATTCATGAGTTTTCTAAACTTTGTGCTCTTGAGCATACAATATAAATTAAGACATAATGATAGTTTTTACCAGCAGCCAGATGGATGGCCTGGCTCTGTGTCAGGCCTGTTTCACAGAGCGACACAGTTGCGCTGGTACCTGTCTCCTCGCAGAGGAAAACTAAACACAAAGTCCAAAAAATGATTGTACTTCACAGGAACTGGTTTACACCAATCTTTTAAAAAAAGGCATAGTAAGTGCACAGTAAATCAGAAATGTCCTCTCTTTATCTACAGTCAAATCAGACAGCTGAAACTTTGCTTTACATTCGASATACATTCTATTTTTACTGCTGTAGTTTCAGTTTTATCTCTTCTTTTGTTTGCGAGAGATCATAAAGTGGGCAGCGACTTTTGTCCTTCCTTACTCGACAACTTTGAAAAAGGTTTTATTTAYCGGCACATGATGGGAACCTAACTGGCCAAAAAAACAACTTGGTGTCCAACCTTCAAAATTCATGTCACCCTGACTTTACAGTCTTTTACAATCATTTCCTGAAACACACACTTCTATACACAAACAATCGAAGAAATCTGTGAGCTCAGATGAGGAGTATCTCAAGGTGCTTTAAGCGGGGGTTGCACAGCATATCGTTTCTTTTTAAATGCTACTGATAAACTAAGAAAGTGACACTAAAAGGATTGATTTTTTAAACATTTCAAAGAGAACAAACACAAAAGAGAGATGACCATAAAAGGGGCAAAGAAAAACAAAATCGTAAGTTTAAAGAAAAAAAAAGAAGAAAAAACAAGAATCCCATTTTGGGGGTGTAAAACAAAACAAATACAATCTTCAAAATAGTATCAGAGCGAAATCAACGTTTGTTCTCATGATGATACAGATCTGAAAAGCAATCAAACTAAACAGCATTGTTTTGTTTAGGAAATTTACTGGTATTTTCTGGTATTTGGAGGATTGCATTTCAGAGAAGCCAGTGTTTCTGAGACACAAACTCACACACCAAACAGTCATTTCACCACAATATTGCACATCATAAAAGGGGAATCAAATTCCACTAATTCCAGCTTTAAAATGATGATATGCTGTTAAACCAAAAATGAAACAATTACGCGATAACGTTTTTTTTCTTCATCTGATTTGATTTGGCACATTTCCCCCCCCCCTCAGCATCAAAAGATGTCCACATCAGACAGAAGCAACGCACTGCAGCAGTAGTTTCTCAGCATCCCGAAACAACCTACCAACATCTGCTCAATCGCATCATCTCTGCTACCTGTTTACATTGTTAGGGCAGTTTTGGCTAAAAAAAATCCCTAAAACAAAAAAAAGGTGCATACTTCTAGGCAGGAGTAGCCATTGAACGCTACTCAGTTGGTTTCATAAGAAGACAGCAGGGCTGCATCTACAGGTTCCATGCAGGAGGGGCAGGTGAAGGAGCGCATCAGCCAGGGGTCAATGCAGTCCATGTGGTAGATGTGAAGGCAGGGCAAGAACCGAATGGGATCGCCATATTCAAAATCCATCATGCAGATCACACACCTATATAAGAGAGAAACAAGTTTTACGTTTGTTTGTCACAATTAGTTGCTTAAAGTCATCTCATTTGGCCGTCTAAGGCATTTAAAGCTGCAATCTATCAACGTTTAGCAATTTATTTTTGGAATAGCATGCATACAACAGAAAGTTCTGCCATGACTTCATCGTTTAAGACTTACTCTTTCACTTTCTTGTCAGAGGGGTCCGAGCCCGGGTTGAAGACACCCTTGGGAAGATGCTGGATGAGTCCGATGCGCTGAGCGATGCGGATCTGCTCCTCCTCGGTCAGCTGACTGGCCCGGCGGCTCTCGCCTGGGGTGGGATGGAAGACTGGCACTGGTTGGGTGTGCTCCTGGAAAAGAAACGCCACAAAACAAGTCTGCGTCACCTCCCACAGCAGAGTTCAGACTTTTAAAAGACCACCAGAAAACGTGCTTTCACATTCAGTTTGTGCAGCTAGCAACATGCTATTGACACGGCCTGGTATTATCTGTGATAGGTCATTCCCATGACCTGCAATGAGTATAGATTCATCCATCATCTATTATTTCTTAACTTGAAATAACAACTGATAAATTTTAATCTTTCAGATAAGAAGTGTCTAGCTTTTAAGACAATAAATAAATAATGCTTATTAGTAAAAATGCATGGTATAGCTGCATAACCATGGAACTGAAGAATCACATTGCTACTGTGAAGCCATTAATAATGATGACTTGAGACAAATACTGAGAGATGTTTGTTATATACTTTTGTGTACTCACATACTGTTTTGGTATTGGCCTATAGCTACTTTTATAAAACAGACTTTTATTTAAAAATGTGGGGCAAACGTAATTTATTGATTAAATAAGATCCCCACACACGTAAAACAAACCATTCACATCAACCTGGTCAATTAAAGCACTCCAGGAAGTTACAAGTTATTTATTTACTCAACAATGTGGCCAATAACTTTAACTTTTGTTCAGTAATCGATAGTTATGCGAATGTTACTATAGATAATAACGTTCTGTTTATAATAAAAAACATTAAACCAGAGCACTAATAAATAATAAACCCAGGAGGTGCCGTGGACCCCAGGATCCCCGGGCTGGATTGAAGCTGAGACCCCGGCTGCTCACCTGGTAGGGCGGCGGCGGCTCTCCGGGCAGACTGCCCCCTTCGGAGTCGTTCAGTAGCGAAAGGTCATCCGCACTTTGTGAAAACAGACAGTTCCCCATTGACCTGAGACCACCATGAGAAAGTGTCACCTTTTTTTTCTGGGGACAGGAAGGAGCGCAAACCCGAGTTTCTGTGCGCCGGGGACGGCTTTTAGCTCTGCGCCGTAGCTCTGATACTTTAGAGAAGAAAATAAAAAGCAGCAGGAAAACCGTGTTCAGGCAAACCAACGCACTACAGCAAAAAACTCTGACAACTACAGCCGACACAAATGGTCTCTGTAAAAGCTCTGCGAGGCGTACGTGCTCAGCTGGATGTTGTGTTTACAAAACACAAACCGGAAATATCGGTGCTTGCCAGCAAGTTATTAATTTCCGGTTTATGTAATAGGCTCGCCTTCAAAATAAAAGCAGCTCATAATTGTCAAACCCTACTTCTGACCCACTCCACACCAGTAAACAGCAGTAATGCAAACCAATGAAAGACCGGAAGAAGAAGAAGAAGAAGAAGAAGAAGAAGAAGAAGAAGAAGAAGAAGAAGAAGAAGAAGAAGAAGAAGAAGAAGAAGAAGAAAGAAAAGAAAAGAAAGTAGGTTGTTATTATCGTTTTACTACGGCAGGCTCCGTATTTTCCTCCCTTTTATGTTTTTCTTAGATAGATAGATATAACTGTACAGTTATACTTGTGTACAACGTTGCAGGTAGTCCTCAGACTGTATGTAATCTTGTAACATATAATAAAATAGTTATTGCATATACAAACATACTCTGTCACTGTTGAAACAAGCTTGACACTGTCAAGTCAAACATTACTCATTATCAGTTTTTCAGAACAAATAAAAATAGGTTTGTACTCATTTGAGTTTGTACAATTTTAGGCAACTATGTGTCCACCACCTCCTCCTCCTGTGCCTCCACCACTCTGTGGAAACCAGCCTTCAAGTGTTAATCCTCCACCGTGTCCCCAACATGCTGCAGTCCCTATTCCCCGTGATGAACGGTATCCAATCCCAGAGACAGGTGGTCCACCGCAGCATCATCACACTCAGGTAGGCGCCTCCGCTTCAGTCTGAACATTAATCCCAGATACTTAAAATAAGTCCTGCTGAAATCATCTYGTGTCCAGGATGGGACCACTCAGCCTGAAGAGCAAGAGGACACTCAGTTTGAGGATGAAGAGAAATATCATCCAGTTCAAGAAACAAACCCCGCACCTCAGACCAACGCAAACCCACAGGTGAATTATCTTTGTTATTCTTTTTTTTCCTTCTCACCATATAGATTCTCTTGTTTGAGAGAATGGTGTTAACAGGAGCATCGTTTTCTCACCCGCAGCTCTCTGAGGTAGTAGTTGTAGAGTCAGACGGAGTGGTCAATCAGGCGGACGAAGCTGAAGACGACTGACTGCCATGAAGCATCCAAGTGACTTTCATAATATGTGTTATCCTCACTTACAGTGTYATAATACTATTCTTAGAGGTAAAACAACCATTTTCAAATGCCCATACGAAATGTTTGTGGTTACAGTGTACCTTTGCAAACAAAACGGGGCTCAAAGACGTTTGAAATACCAACTTCTGATTCGATAAAAGCCAAAGAAAGTGCTTCAGGAACCTCTTTCTTCGAACCTGAATAGTAATCAGCCTGAACTTTTCCATTGTAGGAAAAGGATTTCATCAAGTAAATGAAAAATTATTTATGTTTTGTTCCTTAAATGAACACTAAATGTGATATAACTTAAAGTTAGATGGAGGAAAGAATGGGGGAACTTGAGATGGTTCTGTTGTAAGTTCAGCCAGCTCTCTGAACCAGATATTTTAAGATCTTACTGGCTCTAAAGAAAGCTTCAGACATTGAAGTTAGAGCTCTTAGGCACAGTAGACTGGTCTTCTCATGCTGGAGATTAAAGATACTCATTGCAAACATCGAAAAGAAAGGTTATCAAATAGTGCAACTTGAAAGAGTTTAGTTGTCCAGATATACTGAGATGCAATTCTGAAATACAGGTATTAATTCAGGGTAAACAAAGCACTTCTATCTGCACGCTTTACACAACAAATATGATTGCAAATAAACACAAATGCAGTAAAACTGCAGTACTTCTCCATTGTAAATGGTTCTTCTACGGACGTCACCATTGTTCTTATTTACAGTCATGTGGGCTGTTTTCGTAGGTAAACAAACACATGGTTGGCAGCCATTTACAAATTTTGTTTCCTTATTTCCATTTTTAAGGACACATTTAACACCAATATTAGCACTATATATATA